TCAAGTTCGTGGTCTCGAACTTGCGGAATCTGGTGACATCGCCACTTGCTCCTGAAAATTTCTTGATTTGGAAATCCCAGGTTCTAAAAACACTGAGAGCAAATGGCTTTCTGAACTTTCTTGATTCTTCCATCACGCCCCCCTCACAATTTCTACAGACGTCGGACGGCTCCTCCTCCATTAATCCCGTCTATTCTCAATGGCTCCTGACGGATCAAAATTTATCCGCGGCCATTTGTTCAACAATCTCGGCGTCCATCCTTCCTTACGTTATCTCGCTCGAATCTACAGCCCAAATCTGGGCTGCACTTGAAACACGTTTTCAAGCCACGAATCGCTCGAAGGTTATTCAATTAAAGAACGCATTACACAATGTTTCCCTCAAGAACAACTCCATGACAGTCTATCTGTCAGAGATTAAAGAAATTGTTGATCAAATCGCGGCAGCGGGATCTTCAGTCGATCAGGAAGATATCATACACTACATTCTAAATGGTCTTCCTCAACCATATCAATCGTTCAAGACCACCATTCGAACAACATCCCTATCTCTCACTCTCGATGAAATTTATCCTCTTCTCTTGAGCGAAGAAATTAATCTCGCTGCTGATGCTACTCGTTATGCGACAGGCCATGATCCTAACATGGCTCTGTTCACAAATAAAGGTCGAGGTCGCCGATCCAAAAACAAGAACGTGCCCAATTTCAACAATCGATCTCGTCCAACATATCTCTACAATGCTCCCATGACGAATCGTACCAATCTGAATGCAGGCATTTTCTGTCAAATTTGTTACAAGAAAGGTCACTCGGCTCAAACCTGTTGGCACAGGTTAAATCCCCAGTATATTCCATCATCCAAGCCGGAACAAACTGCTCTGCTTGCTGGATCGGATACTCAGAATAATTCTTGGTTCTTGGATTCCGGCGCCACATCTCATCTAACAAATTCGCTGGAAAATATCTCTATGGCTCAACCATATATGGGCCACGACAACATAACAGTGGGAGATGGCAATTCCGTCAACATTGCTCACACTGGGGCGGGTATCCTCCCGACCCCATCTCGTAAGCTAAAATTATCACAAATTCTCCATACTCCCTCTCTTAAATTCAATTTACTATCTATTTCCCAACTAACGAAAGATAACAATATTTCAATTATCTTTGATCCTTCCAGTTTCATGTTGAAGGACCTGGAGACGGATCAAGTTTTGTACCGCGGACCGTGTAACGGTGGACTGTACAATATTCCTATGACAACCCCGACGACAACTCATCAGGCGCTCACTGCAGCTACCTCGGCTGCTCATACGTGGCACCATAGACTAGGACACCCTTATAAGCGTATTTTTGATTTCATTTCTACCTGTAATCCTCTTTTAAAAATGCATAAGCAGCTATCTCAATGTGATTCTTGCAATGCTTCCAAATGTCATAAGCTAGTTTTTGATAATTGTCCTGAGCGCCAAACGCAACCTCTGGCTATTATTCACTCTGATGTCTGGGGGCCGGCACCGTCGCTCTCGTGTCAAGGATTTAGATTTTACGTTATTTTTTTTTTTATGACTTTTCTCGATATACCTGGATTTTTCCCTTACGCCATAAGTCTGATGTATTTTCTATTTTTATTAATTTTCAAACTCAGTTAGAAAGATTAACTTCGCATCGGATACGTATACTACGAACAGATGGCGGTTCTGAATATGTTAACAATGCGTTCAAATCTTATCTAACACAGCAAGGCATCACCCACCAGCTTTCATGTCTTTACACCCCGGAACAAAATGGATTAGCCGAAAGAAAGCACCGTCACATTATCGAAACCACAAGAACACTGCTTCTGACCGCCTCAATGCCTCATATTTTTTGGCCAGATGCAGTAACTACCTCTGTCTATCTTATTAATAGACTACCGTCATCTGTTACAAACAACAAAACGCCTCTCGAACTACTGTTCAACAAGAAACCTGATTACACTGAGCTAAAGATCTTTGGCTGCGAATGTTACCCGTTGCTACCTTCACAGATGCGCTCAAAGTTGCAGCCAACGTCTCAACAATGTGTATTCATTGGATACTCCGAAGTCCATAAAGGCTATCGGTGCCTTAACATGCTCACAAACAAAATATTGGTATCTCGGCATGTTCGGTTTAATGAAACTAAATTTCCTTTCTCGTCTTCAAAGACTAATACTCAATCTGTTTCCTCTTATATTTGTCCTCTCCTGCTTACACCTGTTTCTCTAAGCATTCCTCCACAGGTCTCACAACAGTCTTGTTTACAGCAAAACGTGAATAGTTCCTCTCAGCAGTCAATGCAGCATCTATGCAGTCCCATTCAACCCCCTCCGATAAACATATCCAGGAACTTGCCTGGTCAAATACAATCAATCCCTTCCAAGCACCCTATGACAACGAGAAGCAAAACTGGCTCTCTTAAACAACCAAATCGTCTCAATCTGCTTCATCTTCACAATTCTAAGGAGACTGTACAAGATCCCACTACCTTTTCTGATGCGTTCAAACACCTACATTGGCGCCAGGCTATGGCTACCGAAATACTTGCTCTTCAAAAACAGGGAACCTGGCGTCTAGTTGAACCTCCGCCTAATGTTTCGATTCTTGGCAGCCGCTGGACTTACCGTACGAAATTTCATACGGATGGCTCTATAGCTAAATACAAGGCAAGACTAGTCGCACAAGGCAATAATCAGGAATTTGGTACAGATTACATAGAAACCTTTAGTCCGGTAGTCAAACTACCTACCATTCGTATCATGCTAGCACTTGCCTTATACCACAACTGGCCGGTTCACCAATTGGATGTTGCAAATGCTTTTCTGCACGGTAGTTTGGAGGAAACTATTTACATTAAACAACCCAAGGGATTCGAAGATCTCACTCGACCGAACCATGTTTGCCTCCTGAACAAAGCCATATATGGCTTGAAACAAGCTCCAAGGCAGTGGTATAACACATTTACTGCTTTCCTGCTGACCATTGGTTTCCAACACAGCCAATCCGACCTTCCTTATTGGTGTATAAAAAGGCTCAAGTCAGTATTTTCTTACTTATATATGTTGATGATATCTTGATTACCGGAAATAATCAAGCTCATATCTCTAGCATATTATCTAAACTTGATACCGAATTTACTATGAAGAATCTGGGCACTGTAAGTGAATTCTTGGGTATCAAAATATCTAAAACTAATAACTCTTATTTTCTATCTCAGGCAAAATACGCTCTGAAAATTCTTTCCCAGGCGAATTTGGCTGACTGTAATCCGCTGGCTAACCCCACATGTACAAAACTTCCGCCCGAATTCGGTCGTCTCACCTCTACCGAAACTCCAGCCCTGTATCGAAGCATTATAGGCGCTCTTCAGTATTTGACACTAACAAGACCCGGCATCTCTTATAGTGTCAATCTCTTATCTCAAAATATGCATCAACCTCTTCCCAAACACTACTATTTGCTCAAGCGTCTGTTGCGATATATAAAAGGCACTCTACATTTTGGCTTACCCATTACAAAAACTGATCTTGTTTTGAAATCGTTTTCAGATGCGGATTGGGCTGGTGATCCTCTGACTCGGAAATCAACTACCGGTTTTTGCTCATTTTTGGGTGACACACTCATTTCATGGACAGTAAAGAAGCAGAAGACAGTCTCTCGATCTTCTACAGAATCTGAGTATAGAGCATTAGCAGCTCTATCCTCGGATATCATCTGGCTCCGAAGGCTGCTTACAGATTTTGACATTCCTCAGAACTATCCAACCAAACTATACTGTGATAACATGTCGGCAATTGCACTTGCCAACAATCCTGTGTTTCACTCCAAGACGAAACACATTGAAATAGATCAGAAATTTGTACGCGATCACATTCAACATAATCGCATCATTCTTCATCCAATCAACACAAAAGATCAAGTAGCCGATATCTTCACCAAATCGCTATCCACGCCGAGGTTTCAAGAGCTTAGACTCAAATTGACGATCATTCCCGACCCATCAATTTGACGGGGCATATTAGAATATGTATTTACATACACATTTATATAAGCTCGTATTCTAGAATATCATTGATATACTTGTAATTACTGTTACTTCTCTCTTCTTCCTGCTCTATATAAAGACAGGAAATCTATCTGTACATAATAATTGATTAATAAAGATTTTACACTTTGTTCTCCTATGACTTCTTACAAGAAACGATGATTATGTTTCTACAATATCAAACATGAAAGTCACTGCAGGGTTATTGCCCTATTCTTATTATACCTCGATTTCTGCATGGATTTTGCATTGATGACAATGATGTGACACCAATTCTCCCTTAGCACCTTATAAATACAGGCTCTTCATTGAAGAAACTTTACTCTATTCCCTTGGTGACTTAGAACGTACGAGTGTTCATATATAAACAATGTTGACTTATCTATGTCTCGAGGGAAGGCATCTAAGAAGGTCACCATTCATACAAGCGGAGCAAATAGGCCAGCAAAGAAGCTGAGTAAGCCTTCCCCGAGCAAGGAAGTTGATGGCAAAGCCCAATTCACACTGGGGTCCCTGAACTCGCTGTTGCTACCCCAGCAAAGAGAATCAAGACTGATTTTAGGGCAACAGTGGAGACAAGTAACTCGCCAATTACTACAATTGACACTGTTGAGCTCACAATTGTGGGCAATGGCGCGGTATCCTAAGAGAGGGCTGACCTCTCTTCTGAAGAAGATGAAGAGCCTCTTAACACAAGGTTTCCATCAAGGTTTTAGTGCTTGTGTACCTTCAAAGCGTTTTGAATGGATATCTTATCCACCACTTCCTGTTGGGGGGCCATTTTAGTGAGAATTTGCCTAATACTAGCTACTCATAAGACTTTTTTGCACATGAGCCCTAGCAAGGTTCATCTTTTCTTTTTATAGTTTAATCCTGCTCCCCATACTATCAACTATAGCCTATGTTGAAGAGACTGAGTAAGCCTTCCCCGAGCAAGAAAGCCTCACATCCCACAGCATAGCATGCATGTCTCTCAAAAGTAATCGCGAGGGACAAAGGGGCTGTTTAGTTGACTGAAAAAGAAATGCAGTGTAAAATAAATGCTAATGCATTCTGAATACTTTGCACTTATTTGGTTGTCTGCAAAATAAATGCAGGAGAATTGTTTCCCTTGTTTGATTTGATAGATCCAGAGTAAAGCAAAACTATTTTTTTTTTAATAATTTATTCTAGCATTACAACTAGTATATTTTTAAAAACAAAATATTTATAATAATTAATATTATTTGATGTTATAAAATATAAATCAGTGTATTCATTTATTGTACGATCTTATTATAATTTTTTTTTTAGATTATAAGATATAAAATTATCCTAAACTTCACAGCAATAATCTCAGTGCAAATTCAAAGCTTTGAAACTCATCTTGATGCATTTAGCATTAATTCTTCCTATCTCAAAAATAGATAAAACAACACTAATGATGATACTTATGAGTATAATAAATAATTAGAATTATATACAACAAAAAATAGAGGAAATATTTATTATGTGATAATCCCACAAATGAGACAATTATTTCATCTAACTACAAAAACCAGTATCATATATAACTATGCAGAGAGAGAGAGAGAGAGACCATGAAAAACAAAAGAATAATTCACAGGGACTCAAAACCAGTAAAGTGATCATCTGCTTCAAACTAATTGCAAAAGCATTTAGTTCATATAGAGATTCCAACAAGAATCAATAAAAGTTGAATCCACTGGAGTAAACTTATCACAGCGGCCAATCCAGCTAACAGTCTCTGTTTCATAGGAAAACACTTGGACAGATAATATTCACCGGGCAATTTCTTAGAAAACATACTAACGCGCCATGAAACAAAGATTGCTTCAAACTACAATGCATTATGTGATTCTCCTTGAATAGTCTACATAAATACACGTTAATGGATAATCATGATGGATAAATCACGGGGTATGCAATCATCTAGAAAACAAAATCAGCCAAGCATAAGCCGCTAGTTCTCGATATAGAAAGCCTATTCTCCATCTCAATCCCATCCAAAAACCAAATCACCATCAAAGAGCAGCTATAACTTTGCAAAGGAAGAATTCAACCCGGAAGATAGCAAAATCTAAACCAATCAATATGAGGATACAAAATTTGTAGCCCAGCTTCGCCATTTCCCCTGAATTCGACAGCTCCGCCGGTGTATCTTCCAATGAAGCTTCAAGGTTTAACTCAAGTTACGCTCCTTCGATTGAAGCGGAAGGTTTCTCTGCAGAGAGAGAAGAGAGAGAGAGAGAGAAAGAGAGAGACGAAGAGACGAAGAGAATGAGTGACAGCGAGGGAGAGAAGGAAAGGGAAAGGACACGGATAGTGGAGTCCGGCATGCAGTGCAGCCCTTTCTTCTGTTTCTATCACTCACTCTTTTTGCTAAGCTCCATGTGTTTCGGCTTCTGGAATCCGGAGAAGATCAATGCAATGGCCGAAGAAGCTCTCGAAAGCGATAAAGTTACCTTTAGAACTTGCGAGCTCCCGTCAACATCCGATCGGACAGGTAAAGGAAACGTCGTCGAAGGAGCGAAGTCGAAACAAGAACGAAGTAGCCGAAGAGCCTCTCGTGCAATCTTACAACTCCTGCGAAGAAATGAAGCCGAACAGCAACGAAGCGAAGGAATTCTTCGTCGAGCGAATTTAGAACCCGCTTAATATGAGCGGGTTTCTAATTCGCGCAAAACAGTTCCGTAATACACACCGCCTAATGCTTTGAAGGGTTTCGTTTTGTTTCGCTCAAAATTAACCAAACAATCAAATTTAGTAAATGTATGTATTTGTTTTACTTTACACTCCTAATTCAGACAACCAAACAGCTCCAAAAATAAGAGTTTTTCAAGCGAAACCCATCTCTCTCTTGTAGCAAGCATCCATAGAACTCATGTTCATTGATCTCTCTCCCTGAAAGACAAGGAAAAGTCATTAGAGGAGCGATGAGACATAAGAAATCCTTTACAAAAATCATAAATGGGCATTTTTTCCAATCAAAAGTCTGTGAGATGCTGTTAATTCTATTCAATCAAGCAATCTTTTGGCCAAACAATAGCTGCCAGGATGAATCAAGTTCATCTATATACCACTCTCATAATTAGCACAAAACATCTAGCCAGCGTCAAACCAACTACAGCCTGGTTTCTTTTCAAATCCCTTTTCTCTCAACAATCTCAAAACAGCATTTGAATTCTCTGTCTTGCCCAACAAGCCATAAATATCTGCAAGCATCAAGTAGTTAGCTGAATTTTCTGGCTCCAAATAGAATAGATGACTAGCAGCTACCTCCCCAATCACCAAATTTCCATGCATTCTGCAAGCACTAAGCAAAGTTCCCCAAAGAATAGAACTTGAGCTGGCCTCTAGCTTCACATCCTTCAGCAAATCATGTGCCTGAACTAAAAGCCCGGCACGGCAATACATGTCGACCAAGCAAGTCAAATACTCGATACTCGGATTTAAACCATAACTTTCCATGGATGCGAAAAGTTCCCTCCCTTTCTCCACAAATCCTACATGGCTACAAGCAGATAAGAGTGCGATAAACGTGAAATGGTTTGGCGTCGTTCCTTCTTCCCTCATGAGGGCAAAAAGATCAAAAGCCCCTTCTACATTCCCGTTCGAAGCATATGCTCCAATCATCGAGCTCCATGAGACGACATCTTTCTCTTGTATGCCTTTGAAGATGTTGTATGAGCTTTCAAGGCTTCCGCATTTGGCATACATATCAATCAAGGAATTTGCGATAGTTCTTTCAGACTCAAATCCCCTCTTAACAATGAAAGCATGAGTTTCAGCTCCTTTTCTTGATAGCGAATTTGTTGAGATAATGGAAAGCAACATTAAGAGGGTAGCTCGTTCAAGAGCAATTCCTCTCCTTTGCATTTTAAGTGAAAGCTCAAACACCTGGTGAAAGTCTCCTACCTCAGTACATGCTTTGATCACTGCATTCCATGCAATCCCGTCTCCTTTCACTCTTGAATCTGTTTCAAGAAATTCAAAAGCAATCTCCATCTTTCTGCATCTTGCATACATATATACAAGTGCGGTGATTAGAGAAGCATCAGAAGCCATTTCATCATCATAGTTTGACAAGTAGTTCATCTGGATCTGTTTTCCTGTTTCCCAATCACCCATGGACGCACAAGCAAGAAGTGCATTAAGCAATAATGGCCGTGTGGGAGAAATCCGAGTGTTAAAGAGCATCCAATAAAATGTCTTCAGAGCTTCAGAAGGTTGCTCATTCTTAACATATCCACCAATCAAAGTACACCATGAAACTGAATCCTTGAAAACCATCATATCAAACAATTGAACTGCAATCTCTAAACAACCACATTCAAAATACATTTCTAATAAGGAATTCGAAACCACCAGATTTCTGTCAAAACCAGTCATAACCACAAGTGCATGAAGAGTCTCACCATTACGAACTCGATCTTCATCCCCACAACAAGAAAAAAGGCTCACCAAACTGCCCTCAGTAGCGGAAATCCCATCAACAAGCCTCATGTTCCTGAATAGATCCATGGCATCTGACAACAATCCAGCTCGCGAATACCCAGAAATCATAGCATTCCAGGACACGGCATCTTTAAGTGACATTCTATCAAACACCTGACGCGCAGACTCGAGTTTACCCGCCTTCGTATGCAGAACAACCAAAGCCGTCCCAACAAGAATATTTGAATCAAACCCTAGGATCTGCGCATTCTCTCCAATCATGAAACCAACCTCGAACTCCGACAAACGCGTGCACGCGGTAATTGCGAGATGGAAGGTGTTCCTGTCCGGCTCGCACTTCGTCGACGAAAGCGCCGTCATCTCCCGGAAAACGTCGAGCGCGAGACGAGGAAGTCCGCAACGCAGGTATCCACTGATAACCGAATTCCAAAGAAGAGGCTTTGTGGGCCGGCCAGATTGTCCGTCGAAAAGGAGCCGGGCGGCGCCGGCATTGCCAAAGGCGAAGTATTTGGCAATGAGGAGGGTGGAGACGAAGAGATTGTGGCGGAGGCCGGAGGTGACGACACGGGCATGTAGGCATTGGAGGAGTTTGGAAGAGAAGCAGCGAGTAGAGATTGCCTCGGCAAGTGATTCTTTTAGCTGCTGCCAGTTTAGATGCTGGTGGTGGTTTGGCACCCACTGTGGCTTTGACGACGTCGGAGAAGATTCATTCAGGCTGTGAGTTTGAAAAGCGCGCGCTGCGCGTGGGCTTCTTTGGCATCGATTACTGCAGCATTCCAGCTTCCGAATCAAGATCATGCGATAGTGTAGGTGTGAGGTCAGTCCAGTTGGCTTTTAAGGTCTGATGGTTTCTGTCAACTTAGGCGAATTTAATTATAGATTCAAATATAAAGTAAATTATTAAATTTAAGATTTCTTAATTAACGGTCTAAATTCTTAATAACTAAAACTCTCAATCAACAAATTAAGAACTCATAATAAGATTATAACTATTTTAAAACGTAAATAATTATTCTCTGATAACATATTTCACAAACTAATTATAACTTTATATATCTATCAAAAGTTGGTCGTCAATAATCTTATGAAGAATAAATTTGTCACAAAATAGTAACAATTATTTTATCATAGACTGGGACTTCTCATTCAAAGCTTCTTGGAAGTAGAGGAAGGCCAATACACATGAGAATCTTAAGGCCAATGTAAGGTAAACAATTTAAGACTTCGTTTGAGACGTTTTTTCTACTATTTTTAAAAGCTACTTTTTAAAAAATTGCTTAAAAAAATAGTAAGGATGTGTTTAAGACGACTGCAGCTGTCTATAAAATATATTGTTAAATTGTTATATAGAAAGCTGCTTTCTAAAATTGTTGTATAAAAATCAGTCAATTTTGTTTTAGTATTACTGCTGAACTACTTTGATGCTGATGTTTGACAACAAATTACCTTGTTACCTTTACATATATGAAGATGAATAAAATTTGTTCAAATTTAGGGGCTGTTTGATTGCCTGAAAAAGAAATGCAGTGTAAAATAAATATAATGTAAAATAAATGTCCTGTATTCCAAATACTTTGAGACTATTTGGTTGTCTGCAAAATAAATGCAAGAGAACTGTTTCCCTTGTTTGATTAGGTATATCTAGAATAAAGTAAAAGCGATGTATTTGTAATAATTTATTTTGACATTAAAAGAAATAAATGAAATATGAAATAAAAACGCATGATTTATCTTGAGTTTATTTCAAGTTATGATTGCAAAATATATTTTCTTCATTAGTTCAAATGGATTAAAAAAAATGCTAGTATTAGTTCAGAAGAAGAAACACCTTATTTCAAGTTACACAAGTACAATCGAGAGAGAAAGGAGCATTTTCTACAGCCTTTGAGGCACTTGCACAAACACTTGGAGTGCCCACACCTGTAGCTTTGCGATCATTAGTGCATGCCATAGGGAATTTTATACACCTGCAATTGGGGTCTTCAGCCCCTTGTAAATCCATTCCAAACACAAATTCCGCTCCAGCATTAGCATCAAAATATAGCGACCAAAATCAGCATCTGCCGTTTCTGAGTACATAAATAGCATGTTTCTAGCAAACAGAAAACAAAGAATTAAAAAATTGTATTTTCCTAATTTCTTTTATATAAGGTTAAATAAGCAATTTATTTTGTTAGTTTAATTGACTAGAAATAAAAGAAAATTGTCCCAAACAATAACTAGAAGAAGAAAATATTTTGAGAATTTGACAAAAGCTTGAACTGGAAAACAAAAACAGTTATGCAAAAAATGAACAAAGGGCTTTAGGATGCGTATCACAACTGCATCATGCAAAAACGGGCATGAAAATTGACATTAAAATCTTTTTCCCAATGCCATAGTATGATTATAAGGGCCATGGCAAAGTTACTTTTATCACTTGATATGCTCCAGGACGGTGAAATAAGCTATTTAAGATGCATATATCCAACTCCAACTAGTGGTAATAAGCTATTTATGATGACAGTTTAAGCGATTAGAAATAAAAGGAAATTATCTCAAACAAATAGTACAAGAAAATATTTTGAGAATCTGATAAATGTAGTAACTGGATAAAAATACAGAGTTCTGCAAAAAATGAACCAAGGGCTTTAGGATGCTTACACAATTGCCACAGTAGCACTTCTTGCAAAAGCGGACCTTAAAATTGATATGAACAACTTTATTTCAAATGCTATATGATTATTTTTCTCAGGACAGTGAGGTAGAAACAGCATGAGAAATCAAAACTAAAGCTCCAACAAAACTTCTGAAAACTCTATCATAGCATAGTTTTGATATCGTGTGGGAATCATGAACAGAAAGTACTATAATACACTTTCTGCCTCCTCCATGAAATTAGATTAACAGCTCATAACAAATGACTGAAATTAGATGAAATTAATAGCAAGTCCTATACCCTAAATCAGGGTAAGAAGTTTAGTCTTTACACATCATGTCCATAATGCATGCAAACATTAAAGTATTCTTAGTAATATGAACCTAGCACAAAAAATCATTATGCATTAGTCTTCATTTAATGTAACCATATCAAATCTGGCCATTTCAAACAAGCTCTCCACAAAGAGAACAAGGGAGTGGTAAGGGAAAAAAGGCTAAAGATGCAATAGGTGATGGAGTAGGACTTATAAACTCTGACAACGGAAAGGAATTAGAAGGTAATATGTAAGGCAAAATGGGTCAACATTGATATCTTCAATGCTGAACATTGATATCTTCATAAATTATAAATAATAAAACTTATCAAGCTTGTCACTACAGAAAATAAAACAAGATAACATGGGTCATTGAAAGATCCGGAACAAATCTCTAAGCACCAGCATCCTGCAGTGACAAGGACAAGGACTCTTTTCACCCATTTTATTTATGTTTAGGTTAACCATTTCAGTAATTGTTACCAGCAAAGATGATAAGCATGACAAATCAGCATCAATAAAGGTTGCCATTTGCAAACTTCTAAGTCAAAGCACAGAACAAGTCTTTATAAGGTTTCCCTGAACTACGGATCTAGTAACTAAGTTATTTACCCTTTGATTGCAGAACGGGATAACATTGTCCAGTTATACTCATTTCTTCTTCAGTTAAAAATTTAATATCCTCCTGGTAGCGATCTTGTATAAACTAATTGAGACACTTGGGCAGATTAATTTTCAACAAAAATAATCATGATAATCCAGAGTTGAGACCCTTAAAACTGCTTACCTGTTCAACCCATCACACGCATGGCCGCACCAAATGGTAATGATGACACACATAGCTTCCGGCTAAGTTTTCCCATATCGTTGCTAAGTAGAGGGCTCGAACATCATTCATAACAATAGCTACTCTTTTTCAGTCCATGTAATAACAACACAAAACTAACGAGTCATGAACAATTGAATACCTTCTCCGTAGATGCAGAAAGAGGATCCCCTAGAAGGATTTCTGCTGGAGATAAGCTCAAAACCACGGCTTCGAGGCCCGATCTCATAACATTGTCATTGAACACACCATGAATGACCTCCCCAGTCGATTATTAGCACAATAAGCTCATACCTGTATTCATATATTTACTTATTCTGTATTTACCGTTTTATCTGTTCTAAACTCTATATAAAGAGTTATGTAACTCAATTCAATTCATTCAATACAATTTCATTTTCTTCTCATCTGTACCGACTTTAGCCTCCTCTTCTTTCTCCTTCACTTTCTTTCCTCTTCTTGCTGCACTTCTCTCATGGTATCAGAGCCATGACCGGAGAACAAGGTTCTGTAAACTCCGGAACCCCTTCCCCCGCCCAGGAAAACCAGTCTGATGCCACCGTCGTCATCCCGCAACCCCTCAAATTTCTTGTTTCAAATATCAAGAATCTTGCACCGCACCCTCTTACCTCCGAGAACTATCCGATATGGAGAATCCAAATTCTCCAACAGTTTTCCGCAAATGGCTACGCAGGTCATCTCACAGGCACCGCCCAAGCTCCGTCCGACGATCGTTCTGACGCCCACACCAAATGGTGCATCATCGATAGTAATCTCCTCTCCGCCCTCTTCTCGACAATCTCTCAATAGATTCTTCCATACATCATTACCGCAGCCTCCACGCATCAAGCCTGGACAATTCTTGAACAACGACTTCAGCCCACCAGCCGTTCCCGCGTAATGCAGCTGAAAAACGAGCTATATCGCATTACCATGAAGGATCAGACGCTTCAGGCTTACCTCACCTGGATCAAGTCCATCGTAGACAACATTTCGGCTTCGGGATCCAAGATTGAGGCTGAGGACGTCATGTTGCATATCCTTAATGGTCTGCCGCCTCAATTCAATCCGTTCAAATCCACCATCCGGAATTCTCTTCTCCCAATTGACCTGGACACGTTTTACTCTCTTCTTTGCAACGAAGAGATTCACCTTCAGCAAGAATTGGCTCAAGATCACACTATGACCACCACCGTCAATGCTCTATATGCCGCATCCTCAAATCAATCTCGAGGACGCACCATGCGCCGCTACTTCAAGAACAAGAATACTCAGACAGCCCTCCCATCTTCGACCACACAACAATCCAGATCCATGACTCCAAGCCAGAATCGTCCGATCTGTCAAATTTGCGGGAAAACCGGCCACATCGCCCTCAATTGATGGCATCGCAATAATCTCAAGTATGCCCCCATCGAATTCAAACAACCGCGCGCTTTCTTCACAAACACGCCAAATTCAGCAAATCAAGATTGGGTGCTCGACTCCGGCGCGTCAGCTCATCTCACGCCAGATGCTAGCAACCTCTACCTCCCAACGGCTTATACCGGCACGGACAACATCTCCATTGCCAACGGTACGTCGATGCCCATCCACTCCGCCGGCCAAGGCATTCTACCTCTACCGGACAACACACGTAAGCCGCACCTTCGAAATTTACTTCATGTACCTTCTCTTACGCACAATCTTTTATCCGTCTCCAAACTAACCACGGACAATTCTGTCTCCATCACCTTTGATGCTAACGGCTTCACAATCAAGGATCTTCAGGACCACCGTCCTCTGCTTCATGGACGTCTACATAATGGCCTGTATCAGATCAAGCTTTCTTCGGACACTCGTCACACCGCTCTTACTGCCACAAAGCCATTCGGTCACAGTTGGCACTCACGACTTGGTCATCCAAACCACAGCATTCTTTCTATCTTGGCAAACAGATTTACCGAAATTTCCTCTATACCTTCTTCATTTTGCTGCATTTCTTGTAATTCGGCCAAGAGCCATAAAATCGTTTTCAATAAAAATGTTTCAATTACTACCTCTCCGTTTGAACT